CTGGGTAGAAAGGTGGTACACAGAATTACTGCCTAGAGAAAATGGGTAGCAGAAGGACCAATGGCAAAACATCTGCCACCAATGACGACAGACAAATACAGTTGAAGAATGAGTATAATGTGATAAGAATAATTAAAAAGTCCAGTCTGATGTGCAACAGACCAGACAAATTCCATGCATGAGGGTAGAAGGAAAATAACCCTCAGTGAAGAAGGGAAATGAGAGTGCAAACAAAGAAAGAGAGGGGATAATGGTGAAAGGAAGGGGGTTCCAATTAGCAAACATATCAAGGCCAAGGCAGTCAAAGAAACACCAACAAGAGGGTCCGAGAAGAAGAATAGTATGTAAGCCTGAGGTACAGAAGGATGAGATAAATAAAGGAGTAGTTATAGAGAAATAGGTAAGACTAGGCCTGTTTGAGAAAAATAACAGCCAGAGCCAAAGAGAAGTGTTAGACAAAATGCTTGAGAGAAAAGGGTGGCAAAGTGACCAAATGGAACATGTTCAACCAAAAGTAAATCCAACAGAAGATTTGGGGATGCAGAGGATACTCTATTGAAAGAATAAGGACTGGCCAAGAGAGGCAACTTGTCAACAAAGCACAGAAGTGTATAGTTAGAGCCTAAAAACAAAAAACTGAGTGGAACAGAACTAAGTGACTTGCCAGTAGAAGCAAGAACATGCCTGACAAAGAGAAAAAAGAACAAGCATGTTGATGAGGAGCTGACACTAGCATCAAAGAAGGAAGAAGATCTGGTTTGGAAAGTGGAAGAGAATGTAGAAAGTATGATGATCATGATTCAGTCACCCTAACAATTCCTAGAGGAGAGACTCACAAAAACCGGCAAAGGACTCCAAGAAAGAAAACCCAGGATCTGAAAGGCCACTGTAGGAGATACATGAGGGCATACCCCAAATGAATAAGGGGTTCTAGAGAAGCCTGAATCCCCAAAACGGAAAGAACCTCTCATGCAGGGAGAGAACAAGAAGGGTAAAATCCAGTGACCAGATAAGCCAGAGTTTGCAAACAAATAGGATAGGCTGAACTTGGTTGAAATGAGCAAAAGAAATGTCCAAAAGTACCAAATACTGAGAGGGCATGAGAAAGAACCCAGATCCCAAGACAAGCCCTCCCCTCCCCACAATTGAGCAGCATCAGTAAAGGGAGGGAGAAAAAGAAACATCCCAGAATGGGTTAACAAATATTAACAGTCAAAGAACAAAATACCAGCCATGAGTGGTGAATATGGCAAGCAAAGGTTCACATAATAAAAATTAATATGAGGGGTTAACACTGAGATGAAGGGAAAAGCAAGGAAAGACGCAAAAAAAGACAGATTGGGTAGATAAAACAATGCAGGCCAGGAAATGTGCAGGAAGATGTTCAACACATTGATCATAGCCAACCGCAGTCAAAAAGATCATAGATGTGGATGAAGGAAGGAGAAAGGGAAATGCAAAGAAAAGCAGAGGAAGGAGGAGCAAGAAAAAAACTAAGGTGGAAAAATGGGAAACAACTATCAGCAGGATGAGAGAAAGGTACAGACACAATTGTATATGCGTGACAGTCACTGGCAAGAAGAGGAATGAACAAGACTACTTGTAGAGATAAAATGGGAAAAGGAGGATGGCCTGGAATCCAGAATGGAAGGGTGAGAAGGAAACTTATCTAGACAAGGAATATGAATAAAGAGCAAGGTTGAGAAAGGGGTAAACACCTGAGAATAGCATGAAGACAGTAGTCATACATTATCAGACCAGGTCACTAGGGGGAAAATAATGCCAAAGAAAAAATCTAGGCCTAGAAAAGGAGCCAGAAAAATAATACAACACAAGCAGAGAGAAGGGGAGAGTAGGGAGGAATGTAAGCTGACCCAATGAGTCCCCACAGCAAGAAGATAAAGTATGAAGGGGTAGAGCAGAAAATGTGGAACAGGCCAAACAGAAAAATGAATGAATTTCCACAACAGCTATAAGAAGCATGAAGTACCACAGATAAAAGGTGGAGGTAGAAAAAGGAATACAGAAGGGTAGAGAAAATAGATGAAAAATACAAAGTTAGGATACTAGAAAGTGAAAAAGAAGGCATGGGCTCTGATTCCCAAGCTGGTCAGAAAAGTAAGAAGGGAAGAATGTGGATAAATCTTGGAAATAGTGGCCATGAACATGGGGTGGAAAGGACATATTTGTCATGAGAAAGGAACTGTTAGAGAAAGGAAACTGAATAAATCCTAATAACAAGCAAAGAGAAAAAAAGATAAACCCAAGAATCATAGGTCATAAAGTGAGATAAAGAACATAAAAAAAAAGAGAAGGAAAGGAATATGTCTGAGAATGAAATCCAGTAAGAGATGGAAAGGTTAAGATTATTTAATAAATGGTAGAGCACTATCAAAACAAAGTAGGTGAAGGATTTAGTCTGATGCATCATTCCCAATTGAGGATTGAGGAGAAAGGAATTCAGCTGATGAGACAGGAGTAGGAGGCCCAAGAAGCAAGGTGCAGTAATCCACAACACATTGAGCAATGGCTGCTATAACCCTGATAGTTAATGGGCCTCCAAAAGCCACAGCAGCTATAAGGCCTAATTGTGAACAGTGAACATCCACACTCAGTAATAAGTATAAAACACTGTCACCCGAGAAGTCATGATAAAATATTAAAGCTTTTGTAACAAAAGCTAAAGAAACAAAAATCAAAGTTTTGTTAACAAAACAAATCTCATTAAACTGAACATAGATGAAAAATTTAAACATGTCTGGTTAATACAGTGTTGAAGAGAAAAATTAAATTTTACACATACAAATACATTGGGGAGTTAGTGCACATGGAGATGTGTGTTACCTTCCTACTGGTGGAAGGCTTTTGCTGCATGATAACATACATCATCATGCTGTGGTGCAAGTTCACATGAAATTAGATGGATGTTTTCACAAGGCTAGTGGCATGCAAATCTCTTTGGCAGAATGTACAGAAGAGCTGAGGAAGATGGCTACACTATGTGAAGAGATGAATCATCATTTCAAAAATATTTCATTTTGGGGATAACTTCATCTTGATATTTGCAGTGAAGGTCCATACTATCTTTTTTTTTAATGATAACAGATAGCTTGATCAGAGAGTTGAATGACTTGTTAAGGTCTAAGAAACTCCAACATTTTTGACAATCTATTCACTAGCTGTCACTTTCTAACATTTCCTCCAGTTTCATGAGCATCCAAAAAGGTAAATGAATCTGAATGTGGCATCTTATCAAATGTTTTCAAAAAGTCAAGATGCACAACATCAATTAGCATGCTCTCATCCAAACGAATAAATTCAGGCCCAGTTTTTATTACATTACATTAATCATCTATGTTGGCATTGGACAGGAAGATGAAAGCCCAAACATTTGAGAGTATAGGAAAATTTCCATATTATATTCTTCACGAAAAGCAATCACTTATTTTTCTCAATGAAAAAATAATAACTTAAGTGTAAACCTTTTTAATTGTATACTTCCCCTTATGAAACCAGTTCTAAACATTTTTATGCTTATATATAAAATGCAGTTTAAAATAGGTATGGATGAGTTTTATGTTGAAATATAATATCAATCAATGGTGAAATGAGGAAGACTTAGTATTTAAAATTATATTTTTATGTGAACTCCATAAATATTGTAACATCAGTTTCACAATGTAAAGCAGAAGAACCATAAAAACAACTCCACAATAGTAGAGAATGAAAACTTTTTTCTAAACCATTATATGTCAACTTTCAAAAACATATTCTAGATGTTTTTTGATAAGAGATTCCAACACAGTCTAACAACAAAAGTACAAATAATAAATCTATATTTTCTAGGTCCTCCATTGACCCCTTTTTTTTTTTCTAAATTGAGATTATGGTACATGATGGTTTACCTTTGGAAGTTTATCAATATTCATGCATGTGAAATTGTGAAATGCTGGGTATCTAGTATTTAAAGGATCATTCCCAGCAGCTTGTAGCGGATACATACACCAATCAACAAGTTTCATTTGTAGAGTAGAAATTACTTATTCTGCGGGGTGGAGAAATCAGTGAAAGACTTTTAAAATCTCATGGAAGACTGGGAGTATTAAGTGACTTGTGTGTTTGAAGTTGAAAATTACACTTTGAGTGCTTGAAAAAATTTTGAATTCTTATACTCTCTTGCCACTAAACAATAATTTCCAGTGCAAAAGTTATCAGATTGTTTCATTATGAGTGAATACAAATCAGTCTTGTAATTTCATTTATTCATTCTGTAGGTCAAGCAAGAAATGATCATAGCTCATCAGTATTAAAATTTTTGGACTGCCAGGTATGTAGTATTTAAAAGCTCATTTCCAGCTGCCAGGTATCTAGCCAATGCATATTATAAAACAATAATTAAAGCCTCTGCCACTCACTAACACTAAAGTTTGCTAAATGTCTTCAAAGTTTTAGCATAAACTGTGTTTAATGTTAACATGATATTCTTTCATTTCCAATTAAACTTTTATTCTTCAGTAGATGAAAAAAACAACATTAAAATTAAGAACCTGTTTCTCCTTCTGGCTTCATCACAATATAAGTTTGAGCAGAAGCCTGAGTAGGTCCTAAACCTAATCTTAGTCTATGCTATTTCTAAAAATAAAATACATAACTGTCCACAACTTATAGTTTTAAGTTGTAATGTTACAATACTAGAACTTAAAATAATCCCAATTTTGCTGGTGTTACATTATCAGACAGAGTTAGTTTAATTTAAAAGTTAAATTTAGAGGGAATCGTATTATGAAAGAAATGTAAAAATGAAGTGTTAAACAGTTTCAACGTTTTCATTTACAATAACAATGGTTTGTAGTTATACTTATAAGTTATAATCAAAGTCAAAGCTGCCTATACTATAGTATAGGCTATAGTATACACTAACACAGTGTACTGCAAAAATTGAAACATTTTCATTACCACACTAAAAGATATACGATTCAAATGTGGATATCTACCCCTACCTTATCATTTTCCAGTCTTGTGTCCAAAATTTTATTAAGCTTTTTAGCTAAGAGTTTGCTGTGTTGACCTTTTTCATCTCCAGTTTGCTCTTTTTCAATAGCCATTCTAAAGATTATGACCACAACTGCCAAGTTTCGTTATATTAGAATAATTAACACTGTGAAAATCCAAAACGTGAAATCATTTGTTCGTACTTCTGAAAATCACTATATTTTGTAATTTCTATAATAATATTTAAAATACATATCAATATTTATCCTTATACTTTAGAAATATTTTTTTTAAATTTATCATCAATGTTTGGATTTTTTTTTTATTGCCCAGATTTGGTGACAGGTTTTGAGACTACAGGCAAAGTCAGGTGACATTAATTGCAGCGAGCTAAGAGTTTTACTTGTAAGAAAAGTTTTGAATGGTTTTATTTTATCTTGAAATAAACAAACACTGAAATTTAGAAGAACAAAAATATTCCTCAATCTTCAAGAAATTTGGAATTCCAAACGATGATGATCTGGAACTTTCGTGTATTACGTGTCCATCTACTTTTTATTTCGATTTCAGGATGTAAGAAACATTGTATATCAGTTATCACTATACAGTATACTTTATAGACTAGTATATGAGTATATCATTATCAGTATATGTAACACACTAACTCAGGAATTGTAAATTGTAATATTCTATGTATAGTGTACTTAAACCTTACGAATACTGTTTAAAAATGTTCTTAATTTTTAAGCCTTTATACTAGATTTACTAGTACTGCTTACTTAAGTTACCCTTATAAGTTATATTACTACTAATAGTAATACTTCTGAGTTAAGATCATGTAAAAGTAAAACTTGCAATACTGTTTCAGTGTTTGACAAAGAGTAAGATTGAGAGTGTTCTCACAATCTAAAACTGAAGTCTAGCTTTCTTACAGAATATTGAGTGTTAAACATGAAATTTAAATTTAGGCTGAGTGATACTGATAGTACTATTAGTAGTAGGGGTTTTGTTGAATTTTAACCCACTGACTGCTGATTCAATGTATAGGGTAAGGTCCACCTCCAGCTGTTGAATGCATGTGTGCTCTATATGGGTGCATGACTTACACAAATCCTGCATTCATTTACAGCAGCTGCAGTCAAAGGGTTAAATAGTGAGAATTACAAAAAATTATACACCATTGGATTCCAGAGTAAAAAATTAGTAGATTTAAATTGCAATTTGAATTACTTATTTAATAATTAACGAAAAAACAATTAATAATCATACCCGTAAATTGACCTTTCACACCTTGTGAATTTCTATTTGAAACAATGCAAATAAAATTGCTTTACCTGGTAACCTGAGACTGTGAAATTTGTGACAAGGTGAGATAAAATGTAACCCTAATAAAGTATTTCAATTCAAAACCTATATGTGGGAATTTATATTATATTAATAAATGCAGTGAGAACTTTCAACAACCAAATTTTAAAAATCAAGTATGAACTTACCCATTTACAGTAAAGGAGAGACTTGGTATTGAATTGGCTTCATGATTGACAAATACATACTTGTTATGATGTAAGGCAAACTGTTGTCAAGGCAACATATTGACTACTTATAATTCCAATTCATCTTTTTTTTGTACATACTGTTGGTTAAAATTGTGGAAACAAAATATATATATATATATATATATTGTTACGACAGCGGAGGTCACGTGATGCTAGTAGCACGTCATGCGCTTCTAGAACATTCATGTCCCTTCCTGAAGCCTCGAGAGGTTACTAGATATGCGGTATTCTTGTATATATAAGACTGGTAAGAAGTGACAGCAACAATGTAATGTAGTTGAATTGTAGACAGATACAGAGATGGACAGTTGGGTCGAGCACATGAGTCGTTTGTTGTGAATTATAGTGTTTGTTTAATTTATAGCGTGACCGTGGAAATTAAGTGAATTTCAAAGTTGTATTGAGAAAGAATAAACTAGTTTTATTTAAGAAAGGACTTGTGTCGCTAAAGTTTCATCGGAAAGAAATTATACAGGAAATTAACTAACGACCAGAGATGTAACAATATATATCAAGTTATCAAATATGGATGACAAAGTTTATTATTTGGCCAATAGATATTTATTAATAGTTTTAAAGTTTTGTTGATGTATGTTCAAATAGAAAATGCTTCTGGGTAGAAAAAAAACACCCAGAACAATGAAGAGAGCTATCATTTCATATATCACTGACTCCTAATTACCAAGCTCCTACTTTCCAACACCCTGTTTTTGGTGCTTACATCTGCCGATTGGTCATTGCTAAATGGCAGAATAATGTTTAGCGATCTTCTTATGGCTGATTTACAACTAGTGGCAGTACGGTTGTCTTGCAAACTCATCATGTAATAGTATTGTAGATGTATTTCATTTGTTGTGTGGTGTACAATAATTTAGTATTTTGATTATGGAATATTTATATTTTGCACTCAGACACTTCTGTGTTGGTGAACTATAATTCTCTGGGAATCCCTACTGATGTAAGTTTGTAAAAGTTTTTTCTTTTTTAAGAAAAGAAAATCCCACAGTTATGGTTTTTAATTATATTGAAAATCCTTTGGCACCATATTTATATGTGGCAGACAGCATTATTGGAAACAGGTAATTTTTTTTACTTTCCACCATTCATTGGTGCTTGCACCTAAACTGTCAGCGACATAATTTCTGTGATGCACTGTTACTTGCAGTAATGACAAGTGGTAGTACAGGTAGTATTTCAGAAATTAAAGATTTAAGTTTCCAAAACTTATTTGATTTTAGGTTTAATTTTTTCCAATATTTAACGTAAATTTTTTTTTTTTGGATGAGGGGTGATTCCAATAGACCAAATAATCTTTTCTGTAAGTGACTTGTATTTTCTGATTTTTTTGTTTGTTTTCATAAATGAGCATGATGATTTTGTTTCTCCTCATGAAAGTTGTGAAACCTACCAACTATTTTTTAATATGCATTTTTAGATACAGTGTTTCATTATAAATTGCAACAGTTATATTGTGTTGTACATAACTTTGGGTGTAATGAATTTCGTAAAATTCACTTTTGAATTTTACTTGCTTTTATGCTAGATTTATTGTCTCTGTGTTTAATAAATGTAAATGTTTTGATATGTGTTATGCCCTTAAATGGTGAATTTTTTTTACATTATTATAAGATATATTGCACACTTGTAAATATATTTGTTTGTGCTGCTTGTGTTTGTCTTTATAAGTTTTGCAGTACTTGGCATTTAAACATGTTATATAATAAATATGACATTATTAACACTTAGCTTGGTGTGTAACATCATAACTATATATTTTTATGCACAATCAACAAAAACGTGCCAAACATTAAATTTCAAGCAATTTTGGCTTTATTTAAAAACAGTGGATAAAGCTGTAGTTTTTAAGAGAATCAGTGTGACTTGAAGTTTGTAAAGCTTGCCTTGGAGAAAATTGCAGAAGTAAAGAGTGAAGTTGGACGAAGAAGTTATAGGAGTATAAGAAGTACAAATGCCTTAGGCAAGCTGCTTTCAAGATGGAAAAGGTGGAGAATGCTGGAATGTGAAGAGATGGAAGGTTTAGTGCTAAGGCAGGAGTACATTAATAGATAGCTTAGTGGCAAGAGCTAGGATTCAGCCTTTCTAATGCAAAAATATGATATGTTCAGACTGATTATTTATGAGTTCTCCAGATGTAGTTATCTTTTATCCCTAATATAATTGAAAAACAGAGGAATGTGAAAGAACTTGAAGCACCAGTACCATTCAGAAAGAGATTTGCAGCAATTCATACCTTAGGTGTGGGAAGTAAATTGCAGCATCTTGTTACAGATGAGAATCCACAAGTATGAAAGGCAGTGGCACAAGCCATCTACGTGCTGCAGACAACATAATGCATCATAATCAAGACTGATTTCCATATCGAGAACTGACACAGTTGTATATACACAAACTGCTTCCACAAAATATCTGCTCTAATATCTCATATCTCAAGCAGCTGTAGAATGAAATGGGTATTTGTGCTATGCCATACCACATAAGGATTTATATGCAGAGCTTACTTGGTTAATCTCAGGCCTCAGTTTGTGTGTAAGCTTTTACACAGAGGTGATGTTCGTTATTGGCCCTTGCTGAGATGATGCAATGATGAATAGAGTCTCCGTTTAAAAAAGGGCTTGTTCATATGCAAATTTAGGTTTGAGATTAACCAAGAAAGCTCTGCATATAACTTATTCTTTGTAGCATAACCTGCTATTAATCCTTTTATTAAGATACAAAGATATACCTGTCAATTTTCCCAGACACAGTGCCTGTGGATTTCTCTGCAATCGCACTGTTAAAATGATACTGGATAACTCTTGTCATTTTTCACTAATTGGATTATGGAAAGGTAAATTGCAGAGCAGTGTTTAGCAATCTTCTTATAGCTGATTTACAACTAATGGGAGTATGGTTGCCTTGAGATAAACAGTGAAAACTCAGCATGTAACAGTACTGTAGACACAGTGCCTATAGATTTCTCTGCAATCTCATTGTTAAAACAACACTGGTAAACTCTTGTCATTTTTCACTAATGGAGTATGGAAAGCTAGCAGGGAGAAGTGATGTACTTTGAACACAACAGCCTTATGACAGAGCATTTTGCAATGGAAACTATGCAGCTATTGTCCCCTCGAGGTGTGTTCCTGCACATGGTGAGGGGACCTCCCAGGGAAGGTTCTGTATTTTCAGTTTACCTCCTCTGGGATCTGAGCATCCACACATGTATTTGCCATGCATTGTGACCCATGAAGGGGAGGAGAGTATCCTGATGTTTGAGTGGTGTGTGGGCCACTTCAACACACCACTTTGGCCTTGGGGTGCCCCCCCCCCCAGGGCCAACCGCCGGGCCCTATTGGGCAAGGGTCAACTGAGTACCAGTGTTGGGTATTCTCAACAGGCGTTATGGACATTGTGTTTGATGCTGGTGTTGGGTATAGTGCTCTTGAAATCATGCCGTTGCTGCAGTGTCCTTAGTTGGCATTGTAGTGTGTCCCCTCATAGGACCCAATGGTGGGTGGGGTCAGTGGACACTGAATCTTTCTCCTTTCATTATAGATTCCATTAATCCTCAAAAAAATAAAATAGTAAAAAAATATCTAATTGGTAAACAACCTCATCTGGAAGACTCTGACCAGCAATCTTCAACCCATTCTGAACCTGTATCTCATTTTTTTATCTTGCATTCCTTGTCAGACAAACTTTTAGGGCAAATGTCTCCCTTTTTATTCAGAAGGGGTTAGAGGGGCTTGCTGGCTCTCCAAGTCAGTTAAGAAGCTATGCTCTAGGGACATCTTGGTGGAAAAATCTACTCCAAAACACAGTGACCTCCTCCTGAACTCAAAGGCCATTGGGTATATACCCATTGAGGTTACTCCCCATGCAACTTTGAATTCCTCATGAGGAGTTGCTGTTGAGAGGGATTTGAAGAACATCCCAGAGATCCTCGCTGGTTTCTCCAGCCAAGGAGTTTCTGCAGTGCGACATATCTCCACTCATAAAGAAGGAATTATGCCACCT